CTTCTACACATTTCTATTTTCTTTCCTCAGTTTTTCCCAAAAGGTACTCTTAAGTCCAGTATCAGGAATTGTAGTTGTAGGTTGTTTTGCAGCGATTCTAGGGGAGGGGTGTTGAAGCGCTGAAACGGGATTATCAGCAACCGGAAGAATGTCGCTCATGGCCAGACCCCCACTCCCCACCGACCATGTACGACCCCAAAATTTGCACAAGTTGTGCCTTGCGTAGAGTCATCGCTTGCTAAGTTTAACCAAGAAAACCACTTGTTCATCAAAAAGTGCCATCAAGTCATGAACACGCGACCGAAACTACCAGTTTCCCGGAAATGGAGAGAAGCGTGTGAATTGTAGGGCATCCTAGTCGTCGTTGAAGGGAATTTGTGCAACTTCCAACCCTCTGCAAAGTTTCCCTCGCCAGTACACCCCTTCCCCCGCCGACCTTTTTAAATTGCTCTACTTCCGCTCCCCCCCCACCCCTCCAAAACGCCATCCGAGCGGGATGAGGCTGACCACCATAGTCTCAATCTGTTAGTTGCTCCCTTTGCCCACAAATCACATAGCTTCCATGGGTCACTCTGGAGAGAATTTTTGAGGGTGGCTCTCAGTGAAATGAATTCCTTTGGCCAGTTTCCTAAGCCAACAAGCAATCCACGTCATAGAAGTCCGGTCACTCATAGGGTCACCATCCTTTGTTAGTAGTACGCATTCGCTCCTTACCCATTTCCTGCTTTCCTGCAATTTCGAACTTTTGACAGGAATACGGCGCATACATGTTTTCTCAGCAGATAACTCCCTCCCCCTTCAGGTTCCTTGTCGCATGACAAACCCTTCAAAGATGTCTCCCGTTTCAAATCTTTTCTATCCCGTTCTCGACGCTCTCCTGGGGCGATCCCTCTCATCTGCTCCGTCCCTCATCTGACCGCATAGCTGGAAAATCCCATCAACGTTCGTGAGATGTTCCTACTGAGTCACCACGAGCTGACCACTATCCGTAGTTCTGAAATCTATGGCTATTTCACAAATGGGTGAAACTTCTCAAGGAACTGTGATACCCCCGCGAGAAACCTAGTTCCGATAGGTCAAGCTAGGTGTGGGGAAAAGTGGGAAATTAAAGGTGGTCGGAAGAGGCCTCCCAATAATAGGCTGGGACCACGACATTGTCAAGGAGTGGCCGGAATTGATTTCTTTCTTGAGAGCATGGTTTCCACATCTACTCAGTATTGAAGAAGCAATTAAGCCTCCTGAAGTGCATTTTCTCATTTTGAAACTCACATCGGAAGGGTTGCACTTTGGTTGCTGGGACTATTACTATCGGCGATAACTTTGAAGTTTTTTAAGATTTTCATTTTTTTTCTCCAGGCTGCAGTGTCTATCCCCGTCTCCCTGCTAGACCAGATATTTTGAGGTTGAAGTAGCGCTTAATGTGAATTAGGAGTCGTTACGTTCCGCTTTCTGCTTAGGGATCCTACTTCGATGCCCTCAAATGCGGGGGTTGGGAGGAGGTCGCACCAAACTGATATCCCGTAGCCTCGACGTTCCGATAATGTGCCTTGTGCTAAGGTTACCTCAAATAATTGCACTCATCCTACCATGCTCGTCTGGTCTACGTTACAAACTCGGGGCCTCAACTGTGCGGACGCGATATGACACCCTACCCACCTGATAACCTTTCAGTTACCCCTGTTCCCGTTATAAAATGCACAGATGCGTTTGAAAGGCAGACGCTGGGTCGTCCGGAGTGGGGTGGCGTTGGCGCGGCGTCAGCCCATTCTCCACCAAATGATATTACTAGCCCGCTACAAAAATTGGTGGAGAATGGGCTAGAGCTATGACTCGCGCCAGCATTTGCACTCAAAAGGGCTGTACGCCAAACGCCCAGTTCTGAACAAGGAGCTATGCAAAACGAGAAATTGCTGAACAGCTTGACTGCATGCTATTACATTTATATGCGACTGCGTCCTACATGAACTAGTAATAACAAAAGTAGTTGAATGATATATTGTGGACCACACCCAGTGACCTTGGCTCGAGTTGGGTAGCGTTATAGGTTAGGATGGAACAGGAGACGCAAGATAGGAGGCTTCTCTTTTCTTCCAACTACTAGTTAATTTTGACCTGAATGCTCTGAACAACTCAACACAGTAACATGAAATTTTTCAGAGTTACGCTGGAGAAGATTAGGACAAGGAAAGCAAAGATAATTAAAGTCAAGGGGTAGAGATATAACAATTGAACCATATTTAGCAATGAGAACTGAGCGCTACTTCAATGTAGGAGTCTATTTTGTAAAGTTCTAAAAAGTCTAAGAAAGGGAGGCCGCAGAGAAATAGATAGAGCATATCTCGGAGCTCCCTCACCTTCCAAACTTAGACAGACAGCTTAGGTATAATCGTGTTCTCTTTGAGTTGCTAAATACGACCCCCCCCCCAATTTCTCGTTCGGTATGACCCCCTTTCACAACCTTGGTCCCTCATGGTTTCAGAACATTACAAAATGGGCCGGTGTATTGGAGCGCCGGAGAGGGCTTCAACAATGCTGCCGTGTTTGCCGAATTTCAGATCAGAAACTGCGCTGAAGAGGGAGTGTCGTCGCCGTTGGGGGGATGTGCAAAATACGACCTCGAATCCTCATCTGGGTAACCTCTTGGACCATTCCTTGTACTCCCGGACTCCACTTCTGGGCTGTTTTCCCCAAACCTGCCGACGAAGGGAACCAAGGCGGGTAAATAGCGAATCGGAACATGAAGAAAAACTCGAAAAGCGGGCGATCGGAGACATTTCTCCCTTTGTCAACCCTCCCCCCCCCGTTGCGCTGGGGATCCCCAACGTACGAGGAATCCTAAGGGAAACTCCTCATCTCGCTCCCAGTGGAACGAAATTGAAGGAGAAGTGGAATCCTTTCTCAATCGTTGAGCTTTCATAATACTCACGTGAGGTGGCACATTAAGTTTACTCCGGGTTTAATATTCCCAAACCCTCCAATTCATGAATCAAAAAATCCTAGTCGTGCTGGGTGAGGCTCAAGAAGCACTGAAGAGGTAATAACCTAGCGGGTGGAGAGGGTAACTCGAAGGTCGCCTTGGGCAAAACTGTAGTCCCACAAACGACGTGGCCACTTCCCATTTGGACCAGGGCACGTCCTACTCTGGGGATCCTTAGCGAGGGGGATCGTATTCGGCCCTGAAGCAAAGAGGGTCGTCTTGGTAGTTGATGCGAGACGGGGGGGGGTGTATTCCCTTCGGAAGCATATTTTCGGTTGTTCACTACGCTCCGTTTTTCCGATTTCCTGTCCCAAATGACGATAGTTTTTTTGGAAAAGAGAAGCACTTCCAAGAGAAAGGTCTGAAAAATTGGTGGGAAGCGGAGAAAATTCAGGAAGATGGTAGGCCGAACAGGGGTTCGGGAAGGGGGTTGTCGTAGCAAAGTAGGAAAATTTGAGGGAGGGTCGATTTTTGCAAAAACCTTTTCATGGCTAATAACTTGAAGAGGAGGGTCATCAAAATGTAACCCAAGGCAAAAATGGGATTCCTGAAAGGATATGAATCCACTTTTATTTGGATAACAAAAGTATCTTTTCTGCACCACTAGTCCAGCATCCCACTCCCCACTCATTCTGCACCACTAGTCCAGCAATCCCACTCCCCACTCACTATCTTACTGATTTTCCTCAACTTTTTCCTACTCAAGGAAATTTTTCGAAGCCGTATACGAGCCTCCCCCTTCAAAGCGACAAGCAAATACGGTCACCCCCCCCCGCCCTTCTTAGTGGGGAGCCTCCCCACTATCGCGCTCTTCCTACTAATAAGACTCTAACAATAAGCGATGTGGATAGCACGCGTGAAATGAGGAAGACAACCACCAAAAAAGTTTTTTTTTCAGCCACTCTCCAGGACGAATATGACCACCGATGGGGATTCCCCAGGGCACTATAACCCTAGTTACTCATAAGCAACAGCACATAGAAACAGGAGACGTCCTACCGCTGGGGAAATTTCCAAAGAAATACCCCCCCCCCAATTCCGTCTTCTGCTCCACATCCACTCTCCTCTTCGCCATCTTACCTATTATCTTGCCAACCTCTCCATGCTTCCTACCACTTCTACCAAAATTTCTCGAAAATTCAAGTTTTCCTCTTTTGACCCTCTTATCGTCGAGTGGGGAGGGGGGAGGTCGTCACCAGTCAACTACTGACTGAAACTAATTAAAAACTGATATAAAAGCAATCTCCCTCCATTATTCACCAAACAATATGAATTGCGCTTGTGAAACAAGAAAAAACCAACTATCAAAAAAATTTCTACAGGCTAAACGCTACCCCCCTTTCAGTGACCAAATGCGATCCTTGCTGGGGATCCCCCAGCGTACTGCAACTATGGTTACTTACAAGAAACTTTGGAAAGCCCTCCCCCCCCTCACAAACCCCGAAAGTTCTGAGAGTTTTCACGCCAAATACGACCCCCAGCTTCCAGCGACTGTAAACGATCCCCGCGTTATTCCACAGCGTACTACGGGCCCTGGTTACTACTCAGTCACAGCACAGAACAGCCTTCCCACAAAGCCCCACAGAACTGCGATCAACGCGTTTTCATTTTCGAAGCGGGCTTTCGGGCTGAGGCAGGTTTGTGTCCCAATGACGGGCCGAATGATGATCGGGTGAGCTGTAGGGGGGTTATTGAAAGGAGCGGCGCTATGCGGGTGGAAACAGCTGGTTTGGTGATGGTCCTCCACTCGAGACGAGCACGCAGAGGGTGCAGAGATAAGCGTTTAGCTAGCGTTGCAGGTGACGGACCAGAGGGCGATGCCATGAGCGGCAGAGCTGCCGCCGCGGCCGCCGCGTTCGCGCGATGAATTGCGGTCACCGCGTCGCGCGTCGCCAGTATCATCGGCTGCGCCGGTCCGCCGTGGCGCGCCATATTGATCGGCTCGTTGCAGTCGAGGCGAGGCGGTGGCCGTCGAGCGATTATTGCAGAGCGACGACTGCGACACACTCGCCACGCCGCACCAATGGGTACGTTCTTATAAAACTTTGATCGGAAAACTTAAATCATTTATTAATCATCTATAAGCAGCCACTAACTCCATGGGTGGCCTGGCCACCCAGAATCGACCACTATTGCATGGCTTGCACGAAAATCCCGAGATTTGGCTCGATTTCCCTATTATTTCGTACACAGAACGTTTTTATTCAAGCCATGGTCAAGACAGGAATGTTCATTGATGCCTACTGAACAGGTTCAACCAGTCCGGTCCGCTTTAATAAGCAGTGAAGTGGCTTACATATAAGAAACTGTTTCAAGCATGAAACACCTTCAAGTGATCCTTTTATTTTCTGCTTCTATACTAGTATTCATGACCAGTGTTCGCCAATATTAATGAGATCCTTCACATAAGTACCAAGGTTTTCATATTTAGTCAAAGGTCAAGTGGTTTGTTTAACAAGGTTATCGTGACCCTAATTAGGGTGCGCGGGGTGCTATTTGCTAGAGGTATCGTTTCTACTCATTTTTATCTTTACTGTTTGTACCAGCTGTAAATTACTTGAACAGTTCCGAAATTTGAGCTTATAATTTTCTTTTGTGAATTCATGCTGATTGCTTAATAACTGCACAATAATTCGCTTCTTATTACCCCTGGGCCCCCGTTCCCAATGAGGGTAAAGATTCGTTCCTTTCCCTCATTGGGAACGGCCTCATTGATCAAAAATATTGAGATATTTCAAAGCTCAAGGCTGGTTTTCAACCTTTGGACCCTCATAACGCTGGTTTCTAAACCTTGGATATCAAGGTACCTTTGCCTGGTGTCAGTTCTTTCAAGTTTTCTTCAGGGCACATAGCTGTTCGTGCACAGTAACCAGTCTATTACCTATCCTTTTTCATGTCAGTTACCAGTAATGAAATGTAGAAAGTATAGTGGTTACGAAATATTTGGCGGGTCCTTGTTTGTTTAGAAATGTTTGATTCCGAATTCTGACCCCAGCGCTCAGTTGCATTGAAAAAATTGATAAGGGCCTGATAAGAGCTGTTGTTCCATTTGGCCTTTTTTTACTTCTCCGTGAGGATTTTGTAGCTCGCGACTTTCTGCAACGCTTTGCCCTTTCACAAAGCATCTTGCTATTCCTTAAAAGCTTATTCCGCGCTTCTTGGCGGAATCATTTGAATCGTCGCACTTTCCTCATTGGTGCGCTTGTTCAAGTAATTCTACCCATGCGATCGTCGCGAAATGTGCCTCTAAAGGACTTGCGAAGGGTCACTGTTTGATTCGTATAATTTTGTAGCACTGCTGATCTTTGAAGAGAGCTGCATTTCAAGGCTGATTAGGCCAACTATTACCTATCAATTCCATACTATTTCGGTGCTATTACAGGCAAGAAGTGCGAAGTCTGCAAAAAGAAATGTTCGGGTGATGTACTGAAGGCCAATGATAAATATTTCCATATCCAATGCTTCCAGTGCAAACGTAGGTTTTTTTATTATTTTAATTAAAGCGTCTTGAAGCTTTCTTTCTTCTCGGTGTTTGTTTTCGAAAGCTGCTCATTTCCTTCCTATTGTCCTTTTTATTGATGCCATATGTAAGGGTGATGACTCAGTTCACCACCACTGTACGCTAGCTTTTTTCCTGTGGACGTGCCAGCCTCTTTGAATGAGCTAATTCAATATCGATGGATCTATTCATACATGGGTCCTATTTACCAGTTTTTAATTTGCCTATCGGTATACGGCTATCCGTCAACAATACGCTACCATTTTGCCTCCTTTGCCAATTAAATCGAAATGCCGTTGTTTGCTGATTTTGGTACCATGAAGTGGTTCGTATATCGAATCCGGCCCAGTTTAGCAGCGGAGGGGGGGGGGGCATTTCGCACATTTGATGCTTCACTTCTTACGGTTTACAAATCTTACTCTGGTAAAACCTATGAACTCTTGTGGAGCTGGAGCAAGCTCGCCGAGCCATGGTAAATGGTAGTTGTATGGTATTTCATCGCTTCACAAGGGTTAATAAGTACTCATTGCAATGGTTCACAGATACTCTTTACAAACTGGTATCATATGATGGCTTCACAAGCTTTCACAGGTCTCCACTTGATGACTTGGCACATCGATGGGAAGTTGCAAAGGTGCAAAATGCCTCCCCCCTTGTTGCCAGACAGCGCCTCCAATCCAGAAATATGGTGGTGTGTTGGATGCTGCTTACTTGAGAGCGAGCGTGACTGTTACCAACTACTGGTTAGTGGGTGCTCTAGTTATCCATGACGGGTGGGTTGTTTAATGTGAAGTCCTAATTTGCCCATAAAATTACGTGGCATCAAAGGGAGGACACAGGCAGGGCCAGCGGCTGTATGAGCATATAGTAGCTGCATAGACGCACTAGAGACAATCAAAAGAGCGAGGTGGTGTAGTGGCAAGTTGCACGCTTACCGCGCCCGCGGTCGGGGGTTCAAGTCTTGAATCGGCTTTCAGGCCGACGAAGCCCTGTACCGGCGCAGTTTGTCGACAGGGGGGGGGGCATTCTCTATCCATAGATGTGCCGGCCCATCTAGGTAGCCTTTTTTCGAGCTGATACGTTTCAGAATAGTGGCCAGACGATCTTGCTCCAGCTTCACAAGCGTTCACAAGTTTTACCAGAGTGAGATTTGTAAACTGGAAGTAAGGAAGCAATGATAGTACAAAATGCCCCCTGTCGGCAAACAGCGCCCCCTGTACCTTCCGGAAGCGGAAAATTGGTATCAGGTTCCCCTGCGGGGACGAGCACTGACCTGTGCATCGCTGGCCCTTGCAAGGCATTCTATAGACCACAACGCTCTCAATAAGTTACTAAAATCCTGAATGGAAGTAGAATGCGTGCTGCATGGCAACAAGGGATTGATTAAGTCCGAAGACTATCCCTTATCTTTTATTACTTTCAGAATGTTCTCGACCACTTGGCGAGTCGGGGTTCTATACAGCTGCCGATGGTTCGTACCTCTGCCCAGAAGACTATCGAGCTCTTGGTCGTGGAACCACCAAACGTCAGCCGACGGTATCTAAAACGCCAGATGTTGATTCGAGACCGGCGGCGGCAGTTAATGGCGAGCAAACCATTAACAACGTCAAAGAATCCGAGCAACTCTCACCATTAGGATCGCCATCTGGTACGTTATATTTTAGTATTAGTTATTATTTTCACTTGTATTTTATTTGATTCTTTATATTTTCTACCAGTAAAGACAGCTGCCCTTGGAAAGGTCACGAGCGAGCGCATTGCCAGCAACCTGTTTACTAGATAATTAAACTCTCCGCAGGTAGACAACTGTGTCAATGTGTAAAGACGACTGCAGTCTATGCGAATTGACGTATAAACCAATCTGTTTCCTACTGATATTACTTTCTTACTAGTTAATTGGAATGAAAATTAGCTGAAAACGTGGAGCAGTCCGACGTTGACCTCATTTATGTGAAAGTTTTTGTTTGACACATTTTCTTACCAATTATCCCTACCATTTCATCGACGGGGTAATTGTGTTCCCCCATATGTGATATCCATCATCTGCTGTTCGTTATGATTTGTGGTGGGAAGCAACTAACATATGTATTGCTCGGCGCAGTTCGCCGACGGGAGACGGGGGGGGGCATTCTGCACTTTTCCTACTTCACTCGTGTCGAGCCATCCAAACCTGCAAAGTTGGTGAAGCCACGAAATGATACCAGCCAAAGTTGATAGAGACCACCTGTTAATTTTTGTAAAGCAATGAAATACCATGGAAATACCTTACAGCTCGACGAGCTGGCTCCAGCTTTACAAGAATTCACAGGTTCCGCCAGGGTGAGATTTTAAACCGGAACTAGTGAAGCAGCAATAGATCAGTATGCTCCCCCCCCCCCGTCGCCGGCCTGCTCCGTACTGCTCCTTGCTTGATCATTTTTGAGTTTCCGATTGGGGCCACGCTCAAAATATTCGATGGGAACTAAGCGGTAAAGCCAGAAAGCTTAGTATCCATTTAGGTCCTGAACTTCGTTTCAATAATGCTGGCGATTTGCCAAATATGGTCCAACGGATTCATTTCATGATTTCAAACCGGTTCTGCCCATGTAGGCAAAGAGATGTTGCGCGTCAATCCTGTCTTTCACATTTTGTAGGCTTGGAATTTCAACATTTTTTATTAATAGGCATTTTAAAAATGCTATAATATGAACTTTGAATGATTGATAAGCACTCTTTGCATAGCGCTAGAGGGAGCTAACGGAGCTGAAAGGCGATAGATAGCATACTTTCTCGTTACGGTAACCCATCGTCTGACTCTCCCATAGACTACTGTAGTTTATGCTGTCAATTAGATGCGAATAATCTCATTAATTGTGCCGCACATATATGGCAGTTGTGTCCGTTTTCTTGAGATTTATTCGCCTACTAGCGAGCTGCTTTGTATACTTTATTGATTTAATTTCGAAAGAAAAAGTCAGAAGTGGGCTTGGGCATATTTCATGGGCGTCGATTGGCGGGGGTTTCGTATAAATGGGAGTACGCGCTCGTCGTAGATTGTGGCGTCCATGCTTCGGGCCCAGTCGGGGCGGCTCGCTATTGACTTGTGTTTTTGTGGCATTGTGGCGCATCGGATTGCATGCAGCGAGTGGATGCGGTCATTCGATGTCCCTCGGCCGCATAATTTCGGCTAGCATTATGAGGGCAGCAAGGGAAATGGGTGGCCCCGGGACAAAGCGATACGCTGACACAAATATATCACTCAGCCTCAGGGATAAACATCGGAACGAGTAGGATGCCAGCGGATTTGGCTACCGTTTTCAGTGGCAACGATTTTTACGAGTGTAGTCTACACAGCGTTTTGAGAGGTTCTTGAGATTTTCAGACTATCGGAGCCCGTCCTCGTTGGGGATTCCCAGCGAGGGGTCGTATTTGGTCGCCGGAGGGAGGAGAAACACATGGCGAATAATTCCAGTTGTAAGCTTTCTCAGTTTTACTTGTTTCGAGGACGGTGGTGGAAGAACATTTAAGAAGGTGTTGGGTAGGATGAGGTCCGTGCAAATGGGGAGGGGGAGTCGTACTAGAATAGGAGTTCCGGAGGGTGGTCGTATTTGGCAAAAGTCTCCCCTGACTACAGGTTGTGCTCTTTTACCATCCGTTCTGTGACATACAACAGGGATGAGATTAAAGGGGGAGGGCGTATTTAGCCACAGGAGAGAAAGGGTCTTTCGCTCATAAGAAATTCCTGCTGTCGGTTTTTCCGTTTCACGACCGCTATATACACCCTTCCGCCACCGGCTAGACCTCGACGGTAGGAATTTGGGTATGCTCAGCAAGATGGGAGGCAGAATGGGCGGGAGTCGCACCAAACGGAGAAATTTGGGGGATAGTCGCATACTGGTAAGGTTTTTAAGAACGTTGTAGTGTGCCCTGTGTTCAAGTCGCTCTTTTCTTCTCCCTTACAGTGTTCACAACATTTAAGCGTCTAATAATAACTTCTGCAGATATAGTGCAAGTAATAAATGGGTGGGTGGGCGTCAACGGAAACCCTTGTCAACATGCAATTTTGTGACGTTTTTTCTATTCATTTAAAGGACGAACTGGTACCAGCTTCATTAGCAGTAGGATAGAGGTCATTAGGAGACCATTCTCACTTGTGACTGTTAGGTAGTATTTAGCACTTGAAGGTGCCAAGGAACGAAGTGAGCTAGGAGACGAGTATTTTCGCCCAGGCCAAAGGAGCTATGGTTGGGTGGACCGATTCATGCGCAAAAAATGGTTTCTCGCTGGCTCACCTAGCGCGCATATATAATTCTTTCTTGGCATTCCCACCCCCCCCCCCTCCCACATTTCTTGTCTCGTTTTGGTTACTCTCACATTACTGCCAAAGCTTCCATAAGAAGCAAAACATTTTAGCTCAGCAGACGTTCCCATGGTTTTAGAAATGCGGTATGTTGACAGAACAGTATTTTATAGAATGTCTTCAGCGCCCTGCCCGAGCTTAAATTCTGAGGGACCTATTTCGATATAAATTCATTGCAGTTGCAAGCGTGCGAAGCAGTGAATATAGCCAACAGCCTTGGAATATTTTTTCATAAAAAATAGATTTTCGAAATTAGCTCAGAATCCTATTAATCTACATGCATTATTTCTCCTGTAATAGGGTGATGGTGAGTCGTGAGAGGTAGCGTTCTTGTAGTACGCAGCGTTCAGGGATCACATCAGGAAATGAGTTCTGCTCATTTAGCCAGGGTTCCCCGTCCTTCGGGAGTTAGTTGATCGGTGTCAGACCTGCCTGCGGCCAGGGGGCACAGGGGTTCTATCGTTGGGTAAAAATTTCGCAAAATACGTCCCTTGAGATTCCTTTTCTGGTACGACCTCCCTCCTTTCCCATCCCCTATCCCTCCATCTCTCTGATCCTTCCCACTGCTTATCATTTTCAGGTGTATTTTCTCGCGAAGCTCTTCAGTTTTTCCCCCGAGAAACTGCCGTTGGGGGGTATACAAGGGGTATATATGCACGTGAAACGGGAAAAACAGACAAAAGTCGACAACCGAAAATAATTTTTATAAAGGCAAACCCCTCTCCAAGTAGTAGTTTACTTTCGCTTGATCATCGAAAGTTGCAGTGAAGTTAGCAGGATCACGTCTAGAAAAATCGTTGAAAATCAAAATATATTGAATATGTTGAAAAATCAAACAAATGAGAAATATTAAGGGGGGAGGGTCGAAAGCAAAGGGGTAGCTCAGGTCACGTTTTGCACGAATCCTACCTTCGAGTTGAGGATCTTTGAGGTTCGGGGGAGGGGGAGAGGTCCTTTTGATGCAGTTATAACAAAGTACTTAAATTATCGATCTGGAACGCTCGTAATTCTGTGAATGTTTTCTGGGGCTATTTCGAATGACCATTTTGTCCTTTTTTGATTTTCTAGTAACGCGCGGCGGATCTATCCAAGTAGAAGAGCAGAAGTGCTTGCTGTTATTGAGTATGTCTATCGATTGAAGTGTTCAGCTATCGATTTCATTCACAAGCGAACCAGTTATAGAAAAGATGTACTAATACCGTTCCAGCAGACTGTGCGGCGTGTGACCAACCGCTCCATTCTGGCCAAGTCCTGCTTGCACTTGGACTGTCATGGCACGTGTACTGCTTCAAGTGCAGGTATCCTCAAACTATTTGTTTTATTTTGTATTTTTCATGATGAATAAGTGCCCATATGGTGCCGTTCTTGTGATGTTGTTATTTTTAGCGCGCAATCAGTTATTGATTTTTTCAGCGAATGTGGCGCAGTGCTACATGGGGAATATATGTCACATGATGGAAAACCGCTTTGCCTACGAGACTATAACGAGCGACATGGTGTGAAATGCTATGAATGTCATAAATTCATTGCTGGAAAAGTCTTGCAGGTATCATAGCTTGTTACCTTCTGCCCCCCCCCCACCTCCATCCCGCGTTTATTTGCATATTTACACACTTGATCGGGCGAGACGTGTTGTACCATTGGAGCAGCACGACGGATGGGTCGAGCGTTCGGTATATTTGCCGCAAAATCGTTCTCTGCGCGCATTAGTACAGCTAGAAATCCAGCCAGCTGCCTATACCAATAGTTACGTGATTAATTATTCGATCAAAACGCACGATTTTGCATTTCCAGGGTTATAAATCACTGGACTAGAAGAGATAGATGGATAAACTAGAAGTCATGTGGATAGGTTGCATACCAGTTACCAGTTTGTGCATGAACTCGATCAGACGATTCCATCAAAGCAAACCAGCCTGGCTGGCATGGACGGCTGATCCATGTGTGCCAGTTCTGTCATGACTATGGGGGATCATGGGTAGTTCTCTTGTACTTCCCCTGTTCAGTGCGGCAATTCTCATGTTTAATGTTAAGCTCAAACTCTGTACCGCGCGGAGAGAGGTCGTAATTGCAGATTCAGTGGCGCGCGTGGCGACAAACGAGAGGATTCATACTTCTTTCTAGCACTGTTCGACCACAGCAGGCTTCAATTTCATCAGCTGCTTTTCGCTAGGCTTCGAACGCGAACAGCAACTCTTTTTGGTGGTTCAAACCACCGATCTTTTTCGAGCCGCCGCGACGCGCACTTCTAAGGCCGTAATTACGACAAACCTATCTTCTGGATATAAAATGTAATTTGGGAGTGGTTGGATTGGTATGCTGGTTGTAGGATTACCGATGGCTTGTGTACGGAGCGTCAGAGAAAAAGCATTTTACACATTTTTGACTCGCGCTAATTAAAAAGGGTCATGACAGAGCCAAGAAAACTAAGTAGCCGTAAAATATGTGTGTGATTGATTAACCCGTAGATTAATGTTTCACAGATCCGGATGTAGTGTTGGTGTGGGGTAGGTGGGAGGGAGGGCGGGGTAATGGGCTTATTGACCACTAGCCAGTAACTGTAAGAGCAAGTTATTGATCACTTAACTTGCTTTGTTAACATTTGTTTTGTGGCGCGGGTAGACTAGAGGGCTGGGCAGGTTATTCAACCGAATTTTGTGCAAAACTGGGATTACTGTATTGAAAATGACCTTTGGCTGATCCTAGGTGGAAGCGAGAGGCGGAAGTGGTGCAGTGGAAAGTGTCCCGCTTACCACGCGCGCGGCTTAGACCAATCAAGCCTTCTATCGCCTGGGCGGTAAATTGGTACCATGTTGGTCGGGGGGGGGGATAGAAACAGTGACTTGTTTATCGGCTAGCCCTTGAAGTCATTGTATAGGCCAAATCGCATTCAGTAAGCCATTGTGATTCTGAATGGAAGTGGAATGCGTGGCACATCCTAAAAAGGGATTGAACAATGGCGAAGACCTTGACCTTTTTATTCTTACTTAGGTGGGAAGGAGCTGGGTGGGTGGGTAAAACGGTTTCTTGGTTCAAAGAGGGATTGGGCTTTGTGGTTATCTCACTTTTCCATAGAGAATTCTCTGAACATCCATTGCCTATGATCACTTCGGCCGTTTTCGTCCGTAATCACACTTCCTGTGTCAATTTTCCGGTTTTTCCCGTAAAATGTTCTGCGGGGTGCTTGAGTAAGTTTTGGGGTGCTCATAGTTTTGTTTCTCCATGATTTTATGCTTATTCGACCTTGCTGAGCGTGTTGTGAGAAAACCAGATGTTTTTTTGTCTATCTGGATTTGTGGGTTCATGAGATCTGTTTGTTCACGTTAATGGCTCTGGCGCAAACTTTTTATTTGTTTGCATATAAGTTTTCTTACTGCATCGGAAACATCACGTCCACATTAGCTAATATTTGCTAAGCCTTGAACTTCCTGTAAGCTCTCAAGATAGTGCCTCGTTTATGATGGGAAACAGACCGCGATACTTCTTTATTCATGTCGGCATGATCACGCAGACCCATCTGACTCGATATTTTTGTTTGTAAAAAGTTATTTTTTGTGCAGGACACCATTTTTAGGCGGGAGGCTACAAATTCCATCCGACTTGTGCACGGTGCTCCCGATGTGGCCTGCACTTTGGAGATGGTGAGGAAATGTATATGCAAGGCGATGAAATCTGGCATCCATCTTGTGAGCATTCTCGAACCACGGAGAACATTGCGGTATGTTTTCTTCTATTGTTTCTGTTCCCTCCACTAGAAGCAGAATCATTCCACTGTTAGAACACATCCGTTTCTTCATTTTCAGTGGGTGCTAAACTGCTACGGAAATAGCTTAGTTATTTGTCAGATGGTAGAAGAGAACTGGGCGCAGTTCGGCGACGAGGAGTGTATTTTGCACTTTCGCTGCTTCTGACTGTTGTGTCGAGCCCTCGAGTAAAGATTTGTAAAAACTTGTGGAGCCATTAAGCGATACCGCTTAAATTTTGTAAAAACTACTTGTCGTCTTGTGAAGAATACCTGTCAATTCTTCTAAAGCAATGAACACGACAATGGGGAGCAGCGAAAGTGCAAAATGGCCCCGTGGCTGAACTACGCCGAGAACTGGTTGAAAATATTCGTTGATCAGGTCTTAGTCATGCTCACTGCCCACTAATACAAGCCAGATTTCAAACGAACTTTTTTCCTCGGACGTAGATTTGGCGTAGCCAGTTTTCTTTCTGAGGGTACTTTGTCCTCCCGAACCTGTAACTCACATACGCATTCCACGGAACCACCTGGCCTGCCAGGTGGTTCCGTGGAATGAGGCTAAAACACTCGAAACGCGAAAATCACGTTCGCTCAGCGCGATAACGACTTGTACGTGTCCTACGGCCGCCGCCGCTTGTAAACTGCACATCATGCATTTTCGCTCCGAGCAGATATGATATTCGGGTTAAGAGGCTTGGCTAACTGTAGGGGACAAGATCTTTTACCGAGTTTCCGACCAGATCTCTCAAATAACTTTTGCAACCGAGAGATGGCCTGAGTTCCGCAAGGGCGGGGCGGGGCGGGGGGTGGGGGGGGGGGGGGGTAAATGGGGCAAGGTTTAAGGATGACTAGTGCCCTGGTCGCTGTCGTTGTGATTCAACAATCATGCTGCTACATAATTTACCCAGCAGTGCAGTCTTATTCGCTTTCAGATGGGCGTGGCAGGCAGGTTCACCATTTGTTGGAGCGGGTAAGCGACAGAAGTCAGTGCAAAACGACTGATATGAGCGATATGATACAGCCTCGTCGCCTGGTCGCCTCGACAACACGTGCAAGACGGGTGTGGCGCCGCTTTAACCGCTTGACATGCCCCTTCATTTCATCCGCGCGAATGAGACTCCAAGTCGAGGCGCAGACAACTGCCAAAGTAGAAAAATTCAGCAACGATTTTCACAAGGTGTTCGTAGGCGATTCAAAAAATAAAGACAAGAGCCCCCATTCAAGGAGTATTCGGTGTTTTGAGGAGATCGTCTTTGAGCAGTCGAGTATTTGGTTTCAAGTTGGCGTTTGTTGAACGAAGCTGACATTTTGGAAAAGCATTTTGGCCACTTTTTTGTTTTCTATCTGGCTTTACTCAGAAATTTTCCGGGAAAGTGTACTACCATAGTCGGTCGACATGGACTAAGCCTTCTTATCTTCTTTACGATGACTAAAAATCTTCAAAGAACGTGAATTCTAACAAATTTCTGACAGGGTAAGTGCGACCCCGATGGCATCATGGATAGTGCACTCGCTAGGTCAGCCGGAGGTGCGGGATAGAGTCTCGCCAGGGGTCCGACTTTTGCCTACAACTGAGCATTTTTGGCCCAAGAAATTTCAGTTTCATGATGTTGTACCTTCTGTAAAAGTTAGAGTAAGAGACAATGTAGCTTTACCATCCCCATATTTTTCAGCCATCGGCAAAGAGCGCCTCGTTGTCTTCTCGAAATGAGCCAAAGTATCAGTCAGCTTTTGGACAACATCTCACATACATGTATCTGCTACCCGAAGCTGAGCAAACATATTTGCGTCATCCGATAACAAATCCAAAGGAACCAAATGCTCCGCAATTCCATGTACCTCTAGGTTTGTTCAGGGTTTTTTATTTTTATGAAGTATAAAGCTGTTACACAATGGTTGCTATGTTCGGTCTTCTTGAAACCCAAGCATTTCTCTAAAGAAAATGTCTCCTTACTGCTTTCTCACACAATTGTCGTGAGGACGCCATATCAGGTTGAAGATTCGTCACTTCTTTTGTTGGGATGTGTGACAAGACAATCGTAATATGCGACGCTGGTAGGGTGGTAAGTGACGTCGTACCCGACAGACGAGTTGATCTGTCCGGCCGTTCAAATATGAGTGTCTGAGGGATGAGAAAATTCGATGTGGCGGTGATGAAGTTTTGTCCTTGTTTGAATTTCTAACACTTTCGTTGCTCCAATCTGCGAACTGGTGCCCGTTGGGAGTTACTTGCGCATGGCCAGCGCGCAGCGATGCGAAAAATTACGGTTGTCTTGTGCGCCTTCCTATTTATAGCAACCTGATCAAGCGCCTTGTCGCACTAGACCTGTCGCAAAAAATAGAAAAACAAAAATGAAAAGAAAATCATGTGGCGATACAGTAAGAAGCCACTTTCTATAAAGCCATTGTTTTTCTGGTTTTGTAAAAGTAATGTTTTCAGGTCCTATTAAGATTCGTAAATCTCGTCTTTCTATGCTCAAAACGGGAATGCAGCGTTTGAGTGAGTGACTTTATACCTTTGTTTTGTTTCCTTTCTCATGAATTTGTTTTGAAGGCCTGCATGGAGGGTGTACTACTTCCGCAGCCTAAAAATATGCGAGCAAAGCGAGACTCGTCTGCGACGAGGCCATGGTTCCGCCCACTAGCCATGGCAACGCCCAACATTCATTTCTGGTGGTAGCCTGGTGGTGCGATTGTTCCGCTGTCAGCTCCCCCATTTCAAGAGGGAGAGTGAGGTGACATGGAGAAGGAGCTGGTACCAGCAAAGGACCACTTGCTCGACCACGTTTTTCCCTCGCCATATGCCCACATAAACACTGTTTGGCATGGGGTTCTACATGAGACACTTCGGGCTAGTTTTTCTGCTTTTTTTCTTCACTTGTGTTTTACGTACCACCATCTGGTCATTGGTAGTTGACCCGCGCAACTCAGCACTTTTTAGAGCAGATAGTGCCTTTAATTATTTATTCTGAAGGGGTGGCTCTGGTTTTTCTCTGAGATCGGTGCATACTACGAATTAATTTTAGCGGAGGATCTCGAGAAGAATGTACCTCGGCCGAAATCGCCCCATATGGATAACGAGGAACCGATTGAAATGGCTCATTATCCTGCCGGTCATGCACCAGATCCAGATAAGGTCAGTCCTGTTTTGACCTTTGTTGTCGTTCCCGCTAATGTGTTGCTATTGAGGCATTCTTTTCCAGCTTCCAGCCATTGAGCGAGACGATTTCCCAGCTCCTCCTTATCCATATGCTGTAGAAGGTTTGTTGTTTTTTTTCGCTGCTATGTATGTGAATTTATTCTTTCAATCTTTTATTTTAGAACTGAAACGACGTTTGTCAACGTCTTCGATAGAAAATGAAATTTCCGATGACGAATTGTCCGAAAGCGAAAGGATTGATGAAGACAAGCTTAAGAAGGTTCCTATTTCTTTTGTTTCAAAGTATGTCATGCTCGTCACAATCTCATGCGGATATGAAATAGCAGTCAACACTGCTGTTTTCATGTCAGAGCTCCCTTTTCACTTTTGGCTACCGTTTTGGTTGGGTATGCGACAAGGTAATCGTAATTTGCCGCGTTGGTGGGCGTGGTGACTGACATCGCGCCGGATAGAACCTGTTTTCATACCTGGCTGTTTGATTATGAGTACCAAATGCACGGAAAACTTCGAAACCTGTCATGAACCTTGCCTTTGCATGGATTCATGGTTTCGGTGCTTCAATCGACGAACTTGTGCACATCGAAATTTGCCGTGATCGCACGAAAAGCCGCGAGCTCCGGCGCATGATGAATTATATTTAAAAAGGCAATGCCCGCCTTAGCGGGAAGGGGTGCGAAGAGAGGGGCATCGCCACAAGTTCTTATCGACGTGGAAACCTGTAAAGTCCTGCAAAGCAGTGAAATCGCATTAAAGGCAGTTGGCACGATGGTTTCCTACTTAGCCTCAAATGCTAGTAGGGTGCTGTATAGTGGGGAAATGGCGAAAGAATGGAGTGAAACGGTCAAAATCCTGCGAAGAAAAAGCCTCCGTTCTCAGTGACTTGTGAATCGATTTCGGACGAGTTTCCCATAGGCATCTTACCAGTCACCGCTTCCGAAGATACGGCTGCATATGTGTACCCATGTATGCATGCAGCATCACGGCCGCTTCATACCAATCCCTTTGCTTCATAATTTGCTTAGCAAATGAATGAATACGAGCATCCGAAACGGTCGTCCATTTGTGGGCGGGCGGGCGTGGCGGGCGTTTGGGACGTAAAGTTGTGGCTTGTTAGGGCCCTTATAAGGGCACCTTCCTCGGGAAACCGCTATGCAGCGCTTGCCCAGGGTCGCGGAATTCTATCCTGCCAGGAGTATTGATCCTAGTCGCCCGGGACACGATGGCTGGACGGGCGGTTACTGCCAACGTCAGCCGTCCGCCCCAGCCATCATCCTCACTGCCTTCAAGCTTGCTTATTCTAGTTATGTTTGGTTTACGTTGAATTTTTGTGAAATTTTCAGACTGTTGAGCAACTGGAGAAGTTCGATGACTCGTCGATTGCACATGTTATCAAACAAAATATTGAAGAAAGCCATAAGAAACAAAGGTATCAACATTAGCGCACGCTACTTTCGTTACACAATTTGTTTGTCGTTTCAGACTACCACTTCACTGGGATCCTCGTAATGCTAGTCGCACGCCGTCAGCCAAAAAGATGCCACATTTGCGTTTTCGTTATGATGTTCCAATCAATGCGTGTAAGTGATGTAGTTACTTTTCGTAGTTCATAGTTGAATTCATGGACTTTGGTGCGCTATATATGGCATAGCAGGCCATCTCGACACAAGGTTCTGGTCCTCTGGATTCTTTTGTAGGCTACTCAGACTCAGAATCATAAGCTAATGATAACAGAAGTGTAGAGTATTCCATTGCGGGTAAAATTAAATGTGTCGGTTTCGTGAACGCATAAAATTGGTTACACCTCAGTTACTGCAGTTTAAGCACGCCAATTAGCCCTTGTTATCTCGCCTCTGGCACTGTGAGGTTTATATACGTTTCGCCATCTTTTTTAATTATGGAAACCACTGTTTAGCGCCACAGTAAGCACTCTGAAAGTTATCACATGTGGAAGATAAGGGCAATCATGTTGAAATTAGGGGACTACATTCCGCGTTCACGCTTACCGCACCAGTGCGCTATCCGCTGCGCCATCAGGGTCTCCCCTTACAACCTCTGCTCGTTGGCTCTAGTGCATGGCCTTGCAGGTTAGCCTGACGAGCGTGAGGTGAGGGTTTAAGTCCCCTTAGTCAAGAATGACCCATAGCTTCAGCGTTCTTGTGTAACTTTACACAAACTTGTCTGCGCACGGAGGAGGGAAGCTCCAAAGAGGGTCAGGAAGCAAGGGCGACATAATTCCGCCCTCCAACCACCATCTGAATGGTGGCGTGCTTTTTAGACACGCAATGGGGGACGTTGTGTGCGTTCACGGGACTTAGCGCTGTGTTCTACGCATAACTTTTGGATACTGTGTACCTTCTTATCCTGATAATACAAGTGTTAAGTAAGTGGTGGTAAGTGCTAGCTTATTTGAGGCGCCATCCGCGATTACCTTGTTGATAGAGTCCTTTTGAGTTGGGTAATCTGGATCGCAGTCGCTCAAAGTGTACCACTTTGTGTGTGAGTCAGTCGCAACGGTCCGAGTGGCTTTGCTCTTGTTCACCTTGAGAGAAAGGTTCCATCTCAAGCCTTTGTTACCTGTAAGTCGTAAGCCTTATTTGCTCTTTGGTAACTTCCTAGCAATACGACATCTGCTGTCTATTGAAACTTTCGACTTGTTGTCATGAAACCAGCGAAAACTAGATCGTTTATGTGCTTCATACGCTGTAAATCCAATGCGCCAAGCAAAAAGGGTCTTACTAGGTTGATGCATATGTTTTCAGCTCCGACTTTTTTGTAAATTTCTCAATAGCGAACCAGCCTGAAGATTAGAGGTATGCTCCATCACCATCCACTACTCGACGCCAACGCTCAAGCAGCTTGTCGATTCCATCCTCCCAGAAGGGCGAGGGCTGGGACCTGAAGAAGGCCATAATTCCGCACAGTCACCACTGTGACATGATTTCACAGTGGTAATTGTGCGGCATTATGGCCTGCAAATGCAGGGTGGGTGAGTGATAGCTAAAGTGATGAAAGAGTATCAAGTACAGGTCACGCACACGTGAGTTGAAATACCAACATCCATGCAAACGAAATACGGAAGGATCAAACACGGGGTTAAAAACATATGCATCAACCTAATATTTATTGTACCATTTGGCAATTAAAGTTTACTCGAAAGAGCCAGAAATGCTCAGTGAACACTACTGGCACTTTGGATCAACGAAATAACTGATTTGTACGCTTTTCAGCACCTTCTCGTCATCTTAATCGTCCACGACCATGGGTTGCTTGGCAGGGTGGCGAACGTGCTCAAGGAAATACACTGCCATGTTTCCATGTGCCAGAGAGCAGAGGTAATTATTTTGTGCCGACGTAGTTGCAGAAGCTTGATTCGTTTCTTATTAGCGTTGTCTCATCCTATATTTGTGTACATTCCAGGCAGTACAATACGAGCAGCAACACTTCCGACCGGGTACAACTACGGGACACTTTCTATGGAGAATTTAGACACTACAATAAGCAGTCAGTACTCAGACCGTGAGTGGACATCTTTTGCAAATATCGAGAATAGGGCGGGGGTGTCGAATTTAATCGATACCCCTACTTTTATATAGTTCAGTTATAAGCCTTCGTCATGTTTCGGTGAACCGACTCGATATGAATATATTTCTTAAGATTCTTTGGCTGGTACAATTGGTGGAATGCGAACTGTAGGAGAAATGCGCCACACCTTACGCTCGTCGCTTCCTGATATGAGCAAACCAGCAAAAATTTACGATCTGGCTGATCTTCAGACCACGAACAAGAAGCTACCAGAAGACGTTGATAGGTGAGTCATACTTTGTTGTAAGCAGTACTCATTCCAGCTGCTGAATTTTTTTGAACGATGAGACTGCCACAGTGCTGTTGTTATCGTGCCAGAGAGGACAATGTTCGTGCAGTTCCCATGATTTTTTCGGCACCCTTGTAACTTACAGCAGACATGGACAGGGTTCAAAAAGATACAGTCCTTCCGAATAGACGGGGCTTGTCAATGTGACGTGAATTTTGGCACAGCGCCAGCTCGTACCCCAACAGTCGTTGCGGCGTGAGGCGAGCAACTATCTGTGGAAAATGAGCTGACGCTGCTCCAAAATCCACATGGCACTGACACTCCCCGTCGGTTCGGTTGTTAAAGGAAATTGGCACGATGAATCCCCTAAGACGAGTAGGATTAATACGAATTACATTAATACGAATATTACATTATTAATACGAATTGGCAGGACGGAATTCCGCGACCCTAAGCAGGCTCTGCATAATGCCTTTTCCAAGGAAGGTGTCCTTGTAAGGGCCCTATCAAGCCACAACATTCACACCCAAACGCCCCCCACGCCCGCCCGCTCACAAATGGACGACTGTTCCAGACGCTATAATTGATTCATTTGCCAAGCAAATTATGAAGCGAATGCATTGGTATGAAGCGGCCGTGATGCTGCATGGATATATGAGTACACATATGCAGCCGTATCTTCGGTAGCGGTTATTGGCAAGATGTTACGGGAAACTCGCCCAAAATTCATTTTGAACACATTGAGAACGGAGGGTCTTTCTTCGCAGGACTTTGACTGTTTCAGTCCGTTCTTTCGCCATTTCCCAACTATATAGCGCCCTACTAGCATTTTGGGCCGAACACCAAATCATCGTGCCTACTGGCTCAAGGAATATAACTGCCATGTCTATCACTGTACGATCCCGTGGCTGTATTTTTCACCTGCTCTAAGGCTTGCGCAGCATCATTTAGAGATTTTCATTTAGTGTATACATCTGCGTGAGTATTATCCTTTGCGATGAGGAGGAGAAAGAAGAGAAGAAATATCTTTAAAAGTTGCCGCTAACAATAGTAATACAGATTGTGATTTCGCCGAGTATGGCCAAAAGGTCGTCATTGTGTCAGTTGTGGGACATTTGCACCAAGACATTGCGCGCAGATCAACCAGCTAGTAAATGCTTTTAATCTGCGCGCAGTGCCTGGGCTTGCATGTCCTGATCTGCAACAGCGGTAGAAATGGAATAAGGCGGTCAGTGCTTACTGTACTACATATATGTACAGGAATGCTTATCAAAGGCAAGTTGCACGATAGATCGACAAGGTATGCAGGTTCGATATGAATGCACGAAAGCATTCCGTGCCCTAGGCGCTGTGTGGCGCGTTTTCCAACGAAAGGCACCTTTCAGTCGAGTTCTCTTCGGACGGTGGGGCGGTCCTTCGTCCACGTTGGCAAGCGGTCCGACGCCGCCGCGTTCGATAATGGCTGATAGCCAATTAGCCTGATTGCTACCGTTTTCAGCTTCGAATAGCCAAAATTATTCTTCGTTCAGCTTCAATAAGCAAGGGTGAGTATGTTCCGAGAAGCTAGATTTCATTTTCAGAGAATTTAGTAAGTAGCTCGAAGTTAAACGAAGACATTCACGAAAATTCAAAAAAAAATTGCGAAAAGAAAGAAGAAACAAGTTCTTTAGGAGAGTTTCATGCTGAATTCATACAGAATGTAATCTTATTCCAGTAAACATACTCGCCTCTAAATTTGAAACCGAAACTAGAACAATTTCAGCTTTTACAAGCTGAATATTGCAGAAAAACAACAAAAATTATGGCAGGAATCAGCTGATGGTGAGCGTCAGCAACCATCGATCGGCGGGGGTTCAGATGGAAGAGTGAGAAGAGGGCGCAGCGGGGTGTGTTAGAGCGCAGAGTCAGTGTCAGAGACGCAGGGGAATGATGATGATTTCTTAAAATTTCTCGGATTTCCATCGATGCGCAGTCAGCGGGACGCTCGCCGGCGTGGTCGTAGGGAACGCCCACCGTCCGGTGAGCGCTCCACTGTATGTCGCCTGACTAAGGTGCAAAATTGGCCCAGACGCCCGCGCGACCGCCCTCTACAAATGGGCGCACAGTCACGTCGACGATGGTACTCTTATAGCTTCATTTATCAAGTACAATTGATATGCAATGTCACTTCATGAATACATACGTGAAACCATGCATTGGAGCGGTTATTGGCACTCTGCCAGCGGGGAACTCGTCCAAAATGCTCGTCCAATGCCGCGTAGAACACAGGTTTTTAGCTATCTTTGGCCGTTAATCTTCGCTTTTTCGTCTTGTCTCCCACTGTGTAGAACACTCAGTACTGTTTTTGAACAGTTGCCAAACTATCGTAGCTTATGCCTTTAGGTCTTTCAGTTTGCATTCAGTACACCGAACTAATCTACAGTCATCCTTGCCACCGTTAATCTACTTCTTGTGCGCGGGCGTGACATCTTTCGTCTAAGCTTTGGTTGTCGATTACGATTTTGTTTTTTGCTATAAGTGAAGTAATTGGGTTGCGCCCTACAGGAATAGTATTTATGGCTTAGCATGTCTGGCAACCTGGGATTGGCACTGTCTTCCTCCTCTTCTCCCTAGGTTAGACCCGCATCGTTGCCGGGTCTGTTGTTCTTATTACACGTCGCCAATTGTTCCGATCCATCTTCTGCCGAGGCATTTGCTTCAGCGAGCTCCTTCATGATATCGTCCTTCCACCTCTAGTTTGAGGTCCTTGCAGCCGCTTGCTCACGACTCCAGTGTTCAATGCTTCCTTTACCAGATGGTTCTTAAGGGATTGGCACTGTCAATGAAAAAAAAATTGGCTGGAACACTTATCGAGTTGAATTATAATATATTTCAGGCAGCACTTGGAGCGACACTTGGCTCGTGACGAGTTCGAGAGGCTGTTCGGAATGAGTCCGATCGAGTTTTACAAACTGCCAGAGTGGAAGCGTATCAATCTGAAGCGTAAGCATAAGCTGTTCTAGTCGTCCTATATGCAGCTCTCGATCTTCGTTCTGCAAATCGCTCGTTGTCAAGCTGTCTACAGTATATTCTTTCCTATATAGACAGTGCTACCTGTGCGCAGTAATCCCAAGCAGCACTCGCGAAAATATTCTAGTGTGGACAAAATGGTCATGATTTTGCTCGTTCACGTTCATTGCACCTTGAATACTCTGAGTAGTGTAAAAGTAGCATAGTAGTCCTAGTGCTTGAACTGGAGCTGATATGTGGCCCATGTGCAATACGTGAACATTCCCAAGTCTTAGTCTCGAATTTTATTGGGTCAACCCATTACTTGTTGCTTTGGGAGTATTCGCAAAGCGGCAAGTTAGGGGTTTGGTGGTGGTTTTTGTGACTGCGCTAGGGCTACATGTTCCTCCGTTCGATGCAGGGACTTCAGAAGAGTTTGGCAAATGTGTGAAATGTTCATGTTCCTGGAGGACAGATGGGTCGCTTTACTCGAAGAACTGTGTTAGTATTGTTAAATGAGTAGGATATCGAATTGGGATAAGTGCCAATGTTTCCTAGAATCGCGAGTGCTGGATCCCCCCATATGCGTACCCCGGACATGTGTTCGTGTGCTGCAGCCGCTTTCTGTTTCGTCGCGCCCATCCTGTCTGTCTCCCTGCTGTCAGCCTTCGGGCTACAGTCGCCGGTTACCCAAAGGGTTATAAATAAATATATATACATATATGTTTTAAAGACCCAAAGACAGCCTACGTTTGTTGTCGCTTTGTTGTCAAACCTGACTGGCTCTTTCATTGAGCCATTAGTATGACAGACACACTATTTAGCGCTTGATAAAGTCTAATTCTGCATAATTTTTGCTTTAGAAAATATTTTTGTTATGAATTTATGGTTTCATTGTTCGTCGTTCGTCACCGCGCGCACTTCAGTCACGTTGAGCCAATGCACATCCACTATCATATATGGCTTTGCGCTGATGATCTGAATTTTGGCTTTTTTTTCTAGGAAATGGTTACGTTAGCTAAATTTTTTTTGTTTCAGTGTTTATTTTTTTTGCACAACTATGCCTTGAATGCTTGTGAGCTGCGTAAATTGTACGTGATTTGGAGAAGATTTAAAAGTTTAATAAGAGATTTTTTTCTTCTGCCCGGGCTTCTTTGGTGGTCCGACGGGACGTCCTGCGCGTTCTCCTATTGCCGCTCCTCGCAAACGTTAACATGTGTTTCGTGTGTTAAATGATGTTCATTTCCAGTCATCTATTTGCGAGCTCCTTAGCTTTTCTATTGAATGACTGGGCCTCGTGTGTCGTTTATTTTGCGGTTTGTAGACCCAAATAGCCATTTGAGTATTTGAATAAATATTATGAAAATCGGCAGATGATGTATTTTTTTGCATAGTGAACATGTCAGATGAGGGTGACGTGAAGAGCTTTGAATTTATCTCCTTCAACCCTCCTCAAATAAAACAGTTTTCTCCGTGACTACGTACGATCTTGTTCGCTGCGGATGGACAAGGCGTGTCTATGCGGCTGCATTGCACACCTCCAAATGCATTCTCCACCGATCGTTGCGGGTAAGCGACAAAAGTTGATGAAGAACGACTTATACAAACAATAACTTTATGATACAGCATGTCGCTCGCCAAAAAAGTGAGGAAGAAAACTGGTTGGCGTTGCGCCAAACTCATCACTCCCTTGACACGCCCCATCATTTGCCAGCGAATAAGAATGTAACATTGTCTATGTTTGCAAACTGTAGTTGGTGGAAAGTATCTTTCAGGCAGCTGGTCAAGCTTGGTATGTATGATGCGTGGGTCAAGATCTATGAGCGCTGAAGCTAAGCTGGACTCCGCCCATAACGGACGGGACGTGCACTGAATTGGGGCAGGTCAGAGACATACATTCTGAAACCGCTTCCAGAGCTGTTCTGGGACTGGGAGTATTAAGAAAGACGTCAGCAACCGGTCGGCGAACCAAAAGAGGGAGAGACATCGGCGGTGGGCAAGGGATGCGCCGTG